ATAGATAGATAGATAGATAGATAGATAGATAGATAGATAGATAGATAGATAGATAGATAGATAGATAGATAGATAGATAGATAGATAGATAGATAGATAGATAGATAGATGGATGCATGGATACATGGATGGATAGATGGATGAATGGATAGATAGATAGATGGATAGATAGATGGATAGATAGATGGATAGATAGATGGATGGATGGATGGATGGATGGATGGATAGATAGATAGATAGATGGATAGAAGGATAGATGGATGGATGGATACATGGATGGATAGATGGATGGATGGATAGATAGATAGATAGATAGATAGATAGATAGATAGATAGATAGTTAGATTTGTTTATTTCAAAGACGCAACTTAATTCTTATTAAAGAAACAAAGCGTAGATTTTGTTCACTTCTGTTCGTGCATTGCAGTTATTTCTTGTCACTCAGAAACATTTCCAATATCTATTTATACGGGAACTGATGGACAAGCCATTTCACTACAACATACCATGACCATTGGCTCGAATGATTATGTGTTCTGGTACAGACAGTTCACCAATCACGTTCCCGACTACCTCGTCTCCAGATTCAAGGACGAAAGAATTGAAGCAATGTTTAAAGTATCTGCGGACAGTGAGAAAGGTACCACAACTTTCACTGTTAACACATCCCAGCTTTCAGATGCTGCGGTGTATTACAGTGCTGTGAAACACAACGAAACAAAGAGTATGAGGATTGAGGAGACGACAAGAAATCGGACTGCAGAATCGAAAGCAAGGCAAGAAAACCCTTTCAACATGTAACTTAAATGCGTCAAACATGTGCAATTTAAAGAATGATAATTCGTTACCACAGCGAGTTTTGCTTTCTCAATTTTGTACATAATCAGCCCTGACCAGAACAAAATATCTCTGTACTTTACCAGAGCTGTAATTGTCTGTGAACCTTTGATCACAAAGTTATCCTGTAATTTGTCCTGTAGCTGTTTCCTGTTTCATGTTCCGCATCTGTTTTTCATGCGACAGCACAGAGAAAGATGCATTTTGTTCTTAATCAATGCATTTGGAAACGAGCAATTGAAAAGTTAGATTTATTTTCTTTCATTCTTCTCTTGTACATAGCAGTCTCTGATAGTACAGTGTAGATGGAGATTTTTCCAGCGCCTACTGAGTGTCAAAAACAACTCAACTATAAACATTGATGTGGTCTGGTGTCTTATGAAATGAACATAATGTCTGTGTCATGGAAAAAAGAATGATATGGTCTCATTTGCAAGAACTGTGGATGGTCGGACTTTTGCACAATCAGAAACAGGAATTAATGCAGCAATATTTGAGACATCATTCATTTTTAAAGATAGATAGGGTTCATGCAGCACACCAGGGACTGGTGCCTATTGAATTAACCATGGAGCCCCAGACGTCGACAAAAATAATCAGGTGAATGCAGGTACAATTACAACGTTGAAAAGACATTTATATACGTTCGTGAAAAGGAAATGGTTGGAGGGATATGGTTCAAATGCAGGCAGGTGGGGAAAGTTTAGTTTGAGAACATGATCGGTGCGGACATGTTCGACTGAGGTGGCTGTTTCCATGCTATATGTCTCAAAGACTGTATGAACTGAAAGTCAGATGGAACCTCGCATAATAATCAAGAAGGACACACGTGTAGAATTATGCCAAACAACAATATAACTTGAAGAACCATAGCAATATTTGCACAGTATGAGGTTAATGAGATGGTCAAGGAGGTAGGGATGAATAAAAACATAATCAGTTCCTTGAAGTATACAATCCGAGGCACAGATACATGTGTAATGCACGAGGGAGTGGCATGGATCATTCAGAATTGTTTTAAAAAGGGCTTGTTGAAACACCAACACAGACCAAAGCTGAATTGATAATAAAGGAGACAGAGATTCGTGGAACAATTATAAGGCCTTACTAACACTGGCACAACCATGCCTACAAATCAAGTATGCAGGCAAAGGTTAAATAATAATGGGGACCTAGTACAACACTGATAGAATTAGTGCTTTCTGAAATTGTCTTATTTCCAGGAACTAATACAATATCATCAGGGTCAGTTAAAATGCAAGCAAACGCAGAATGTCCTCTATAAATTTCGGAGACTCGTGATCGCTTAATAATACTCAGGGCTGAGTGAAAAATCAACACAGGCAGATTCGAGAGAATTCGTGTAATGAAATCAGGGTTTGTCTCAATATTAACGAGGGTCCACATTCCATTGCCAAGTTACGTTAGATCAATTTCGGAGAGAAGTGAATCCAAAAGGCTTGATTTAATTTTTCAGAACACTGCAGACTAAACTATGAATTAACCAAATGGAGACAAATTGCTGAAAATGTGAAATTTGACTTATTTTTACACAGACACAAAGAAACCTTTAATCGTGCTTAATCTAGTGCATACTAGGTAGGTTCAGAAATGGACCCTATACTCAAAACTGGAGGAAACCAGAAAATCAGGGCTAAAGGCAAGTTGGAACTGTTTGCCCCCATTTTTAACCAGAAGTGCAAAGTAGCCAATCTGCGTGGGCCTTTTCCTGAGCTCCCAGCATTGCAACAAGGCTGTGTACAACTTCAGCAAGATATCAAAGGGCTAGGTTCCGGTGACTCATGGTCGAAGATCCCTTTAACCACCTGCACTTCCCATTTTTCACAATATAAGAAATATTCTGCCTTCTGTGTTACCTACTAATGTGGATAAATTCACGATTAATACACTATGTACTATCTTCCAGGTTCGTTCCCATATAGGTAATCGGTCTCGGGCCCATTGAAGCCTAACTGTGGCTTACAGGAATGACATTACCACCCAGTTTTATGATATCAATGAAATTAGAAATATTATGCTTGATTCCCACATACAATCATTATATAGAATGTCAAACTCTGTTGCCCAATGAAGATATCTGTGGCACTCCCAATATCAATAGTTGGCCGACCTCAAAATAATCCATTTATTTCTGCTGTTTGATTTCTCTGTATTAATTAATGGCAACATAGCAGCATCATTCTCGTATTCCCTCATGTTATTTCCTGACTTCCTTGTGGGATGTTATGCAGAGCTTTCAAAAGTTTGACTACACCATATCGGTACAGATTTGCCAGCTCTCGAATTAACAGCCTCGAACAAATTCGAGTGAGGTTGGCAAAAATTATTTCCCTTTTATTACACCATATTCACTGCGCACAATTATGCAATTATTTTCGAAGTGCCTACTTATCACTTGTTTTATTATATGATTTGACATTTTCCCCATCGCTGACCCGGACCAGGTCTTAGTCAAAATATTTCTCAGACGCCCTTCTTAAATAGTGGTGTCTTTCTAATCCCCAGGAAATTGTCTGGAATTTCTCGAGCTTCCAACGTTGACAATCATTGCAATCATGGTCTCTCCAGCCACCTCATTCATGACTCTGGAATACAACCCATCTTGTCCAGGGATCTATCAACCTTTCGTGCAAGAAGTACTTTGTTCTCAGTTGCCAAAGAATTTTCACGCGCCGGCCTCCTCCTCAGGCATCGCCCCTCACTGGTAAACTATTATTTCAAACTTTTCAGTTGTAAATATAGACGAATGTTAAGATAGCACCACCGTGGAATGAAAATCATTTTCTAATCTGACAGCTAAAGATATGAAACAATTGGGATAGTCGCAGAGAACATCTGAGATTTCCTTCAAATTAGGCATAAGGCCTCAGCTCCAATTTTGCCATCGGTCTTTAGTTTGATAGCGGCATCGAAACAAGTGGAAGGGGGCTTCAGAATTTCTACGTCGCTGTTCAGGTAAAAAGTGTGTGCAATTGTGAATCTTTCCAGTGTTACCTCGAAGTCATGAAAGCGTCAGTTATTCTGTTTGTTCACTGAACTGAAACCCAGGTAAATGTTACAATTTAATTGTTCCTCTCGAGATCCTGAAGTTGAACAAATGCGAGATGTTTCAACTGTGACACAGAGCTGAGGTGAGGACTTTCGCAAACTCCGTTAGTTTGTTACAAGTGATGCATGGCCCGGCAAAAGGCCCGTTCGATGCCACTTATTATCCAGCTCTTGTTGTTATTGATGTCCCTGGTAAGTAACAGGTTCCAAATATTTGTTTTCAAGTGCAACAAAATCTTTCTGTTCCTTTTCAGGAACACCTTTTTAATTTTCTGATGTTCCCAGCTGAAGGGGCCTCAGACCAGGTCCCTATGTACATGCGTAAAATGTTAAGTTCTAGTGAATATGTGCCCATTTGCATGACGCAGCAAGATCATATCCCACTTGTTACACTGAGAAATTACGGAATGATTGCTTATTAGATTATTGATTTGTGAATTGCAATGTATAGCATTGACTGAATACTAATCAGATAAACTGCTCAATGTTAAGGCCTATTCCAATGCTGGAAACTACAATCGAATGTTTTTGATGTTAAATGGGATAATCCGTTATCATTGTGTTCGACATTTTTAGGCACAGACTTCATGAGTATTTCGAAGAAAATTATTGCAAATCTGTAATTATTTTAAAACTTAAAACTTTATGCAATGATTACTCAAGTCATTTCAATAATAGTTTGCAATTTCTCACAGCCAACTTGCTGACGATCATTGTACTATTAAGAGGACAGTGGGGACACTGTCGGTGTACAACCTGTTATTTGGTGGAGATAGCAGTGAGCGATTTTCTTGTCATCATCACTGGGTGCATCTTCAAACGGACTGGCGGTGTTTACTTCCGGCACGGTGCCCTGTCCACGACCGACGCCTGTGCACTCAGCACTGTGATAATCTATGCCAGCCGAGATGGTTCAGTCTGGCTGACAGTGGCCTTCACCATCGACCGTTTTGTCGCCATTTGCTGCCAGAGTCTGAAAACCAGCTACTGCTCCCAGGAAACGGCCTCATTGTTCATCGGAGATAACAAGGTGTAGAGCTGGATGAACACAGCAGGCCAAGCAGCATCAGAGGAGCAAGAAGGCTAACATTTCGGGCCTAGACCCTTCTTCAGACCTGAGCAGCGTCAAGAACCTCCGTTCCTACTTCGTCTACCAGCCCTTGTACATTGTGGACGGGGTGTCCTGGTTCTGTCACTTCAGAGACACATACTATAACTCACTTGCATGGAAATCCTATGACTGGCTGAATCACATCTTGACACCTATTCTCCCATTCCTCCATATTCTGCTGCTCAATGCCTTGACTGTCAGATACATCTTAGTGGCCAGCAATGCCCGAAGGAGACTCCGGGGCACAGCGAGCCACGGAGACCCAGAGATGTCCAATCGCAAGAGGTCCATTGTCCTGCTCTTCACTATCTCGCTGAGCTTCCTCCTTCAGTGGGTCACCTATGTCGGGCGATTCCTCTATGTGCCGGTTAATGCTGAGGCATACTTCAGTGGCTTGGATTTCACTGACCCACAGTTCATTCTCCAAGAGACGACCAACATGCTGCAGATACTCAATTCCGGCAACAGCGTCTTCATTTATGCAATATCCCAGAACAAGTTCCGAAACGAGCTGAAGAAGATTCTGTTATCTCCCTTCACAACTCTCACTGGGTGCAAAGGATTTTGTCATGTTGTTTTGCTTCCGTCGGGGTGCTCAATATGTAACGCTCTCTCTCATTGTCTCAAAATTGAATAATATTTGTGTTTATGCTTTTTCACTGGAGAAATGAACAGTATAATTTCCAGACTTGTCATCCGTTGTTGCTCAAACTGACGGAATGTAAAATTACAATAAGTTGTATATTTCAGGATGAGGTGCTAAACCACGGTCTGTGTTCGTGATCAGTATTTTAGATTTCCAATAGGCCAGGACATTTCACTTGATATTCAGCTCTTTCTGTCCTTCCCTCTTAGCAGCCATTCTTCTGTCACTTCCTTGTTCTGTCTCCCTCATTCATGTCTCAGGAACATTGCATCTATTTATCTGAATCTCTCACGTTGTTCTTCACTTTGATACGGTACTGATGAAAAGTCCATTATGTCTTCAACAATCATCTTGGCAATATTAATAAAGGCAAACAGAAAGGATATTTTGTTTGTACTTTAGACCATTAACTACATTTATCAGTTACTTATTGTCATTTCTCTCCCCTCCCTCTCTGAATATTCCTAATGGGGTAAGTACACCACCTAGTGGTGCGTTCAGATACATTAGGTGCGTCGACTTGTGGTCACTGAAATGTTACATGTCTGCTGTTCATTCTTCCATGAATGTTCTATTATCATGAGGGGAAATTAACCTTTCTCTATTGCAAATGCTGAACACATCTACAGTGTTATTTAAGACAACAAGGTGCAGGGCTGGATGAACACAGCAGGCCAAGCAGCATCATAGGAGCAGAGAGGCTGACGTTTCGGGCCTAGACCCTTCATCAGAAAAGGGGGAGGGGAAGGGGGTTTTGAAATAAATAGGGAGAGAGTGGGAGGCGGATAGAAGAGGGATAGGTGGAGAGGAAACAAACAGGTCGAAGAGGCGGGGATGGAGCCAGGAAAGGTGAGTGTAGGTAGGGAGTTAGGAAGGGGATAGGTCAGTCCAGGGAGGACGGACAGGTCAAGGGGGCGGGATGAGGTTGGTCGGTAGGAGATGGAGGTGCGGCTTGAGGTGGGAGGAGGGGATAGGTGGGAGGAAGAACAGGTTAGGGAGGCAGGGACGAGCTGGACTGGTTTTGGGATGCGGTGGGGGGAGGGGAGATTTTAAAACTTGTGAAATCCACATTGATACCATTGGGCTGCAGGGTTCCCAAGCGGAATATGAGTTGCTGTTCCTGCAACCTTCGGGTGGCATCGTTGTGGCACTGCAGGAGGCCCAGGATGGACATGTCGTCTGAGGAATGGGAGGGGGAGTTGAAATGGTTCGCGACTGGGAGGTGCAGTTGTTTGTTGCGAACCGAGCGTAGGTGTTCTGCAAAGCGGTCCCCGAGTCTCCGCTTGGTTTCCCCGATGTAGAGGAAGCCACACCGGGTACAGCGGATGCAGTATACCACATTGGCAGATGTGCAGGTGAACATCTGCTTGATGTGGAAAGTCTTCTTGGGGCCTGGGATGGGGGTGAGGGAGGAGGTATGGGGGCAGGTGTAGCACTTCCTGCGGTTGCAGGGAAAAGTGCCGGGTGTGGTGGAGCTGGAGGGGAGTGTGGAGCGGACAAGGGAGTCACGGAGAGAGTTGTCCCTCCGGAAAGCAGATAAGGGTGGGGAGGGAAAGATGTCTTTGGTGGTGGGGTCGGATTGCAGATGGCGGAAGTGTCGGAGGATGATGCGTTGGATCCGGAGGTTGGTGGGGTGGTACGTGAGGACGAGGGGGATTCTTTTTTGGTTCTTATTGCGTGGACGGGGTGTGAGGGATGAGGTGCGGGAGATGTGGGAGACACGGTTGAGGGCGTTCTCGACCACCGAGGAGGGGAAGTTACGGTCCTTGAAAAACGAGGACAACTGAGATGTACGGGAGTGGAATGCCTCATCCTGGGAGCAGATGCGGCGGAGGCGAAGGAATTGGGAATAGGGGATAGCATTTTTGCAGGAAGGTGGGTGGGAGGAGGAGTATTCTAGGTAGCTGTGGGAGTCGGTGGGCTTGAAATGAATATCGGTTTCTAGGTGGTTGCCCGATATGGAGACAGAGAGGTCCAGGAAGGGGAGAGAGGTGTTAGAGATGGTCCAGGTAAACTTAAGGTTGGGGTGGAAGGTGTTAGTGAAGTGTATGAACTGTTCGAGCTCCTCGTGGGAGCACGAGGCGGCGCCGATACAGTCATCAATGTAACGGAGGAAGAGGTGGGGTTTAGGGCCGGTGTAGGTACGGAAGAGGGATTGTTCCACGTAACCTACAAAGAGGCAGGCGTAGCTTGGGCCCATGCGGGTACCCATGGCTACCCCCTTTGTCTGTAGGAAGTGGGAGGAATTGAAAGAGAAGTTGTTGAGTGTGAGGACGAGTTCGGCTAAGCGGATGAGGGTGTCAGTGGAGGGGGACTGGTCGGGCCTGCGGGACAGGAAGAAGCGGAGGGCCTTAAGGCCATCTGCATGGGGAATGCAGGTGTAGAGGGACTGGACGTCCATGGTAAAGATGAGGTGTTGGGGACCGGGGAATTGGAAGTTCTGGAGGAGGTGGAGGGCGTGGGTGGTGTCACGGACATAGGTAGGGAGTTCCTGGACCAAGGGGGAGAAAATGGAGTCGAGATAGTTGGAGATCAGTTCGGTGGGGCAGGAGCAGGCGGAGACAATGGGTCGACCAGGGCATTCAGGTTTGTGGATTTTGGGAAGGAGATAGAAGCGGGCAGTGCGAGGTTGGGGAACGATGAGGTTGGAGGCCGTGGGTGGGAGGTCACCTGAGGTGATGAGGTTGTGGATGGTTTG